TTTCAGTCTGATTTGGATACCGTTACTCATGGTGATCAGCTTCCCCTTGTGAGCAGACACTCAGCCGACTTAAAAAAATGCATGTGGGTACATTAAAATCCATCTGCTAAACCTTGGCCCATCTGCTGATTTGGTCCAAATCTTCTTGGGTGCTATTTGTCCTTCTTGTGTTATTCACTCCTGGAAAAAAGGTAAACATTGTTTGTGTTGAAGGTGTTATATTTTAAGATAAAATACAATTGCTTTTGGTTTCAAGAGTTAATTGCTCATCTCTACCCCATTATACCACTCATGCACTGAGCACAGTTTATACATAGAAGGGGGATTTTGAAATCAGAAAGAGTCCATCTGTACATATACCTTCCTTTCCATCGGTCACCTCGCTGCCACATAATGGTCCAAGGACTCTGTGGGGCAGTGACAGAATATTCAGCCAATTAACTAAACAATCCACAAAGCATTTAGGTATTTCAGAAAGCTGCTTTCAAGGCAACATTAAGCACAATTATTTCCCAGGTATTTTATTTAAACAACCAAATTCAGTTAACCAAATTCTGCTGTAATTCATCACTGCAATCTCGATCAATATAGATTACTATGGTATTACATTAATAAACTACCACAAGGGACAATGGAGCAACCTAGCAAAGATGTAGCAAATAATATCAGCAGTGTCCAGCACTATTATTTATAATTAGGTTCCAGTTACTGAGAATTCACAGAAGCAGTTTATATTGGCTAGTTCTAGACTGTACTATCACTCCCAGGAGTAGGGAATGTAAAACACATCTTGTATATGCCTGGATAACCCATTACAATTTGCTAAAGCTAAAGCTTTAGGAACTTTAAAGTGCAAATTCCTTCTCATTGGTAATTAATTACATAATGAAGGGACTTATATGACATTTGAACATGGTTAGCCCATGAGTTATTTAGTCTAATCCACGTTTTAGAACTTGGGTGTGTGTCACACTGCTTTGAGACCTCCTCCCAACGTGAAAGGTGCCATATATAAATGTGAATTGTATTGTGTAGGGCAATCCAGTTATAATGTGGTGCTCTGGGTGCGTAATTCAGACCCCGCTTTATAAAGGGACTTGATAAAAAAAATGGTCTGGGTTGTCAGGTCACCGCTGGTATCACAATCTGCACGTTGTGTACACGAGCACATTTATCTGCACAGCATGATTGCAAAGTGCACAGAAGGTGACATCAGTGCTGCTTCCCGTGTACAGTGTGCATAAGTCTTGCGCAGGAAGTGATGCCTTCTGTGTACAGTGCACAATGCTCAAGAAGTGATGTCAGCAGTGACCTGAATACCTAATTTTAATTTAATTTTAACTTTAGTGCAGGAAGTCAGCCAGTCAGGCCGGAAGCTGGGTGTATTGCACTCCCAGTATTGTGCCAAAACACCCACGTGATAAGCTTGACATGTACAGGGTTGTCATGTATTTTGAGGCCATTAAGCTCAGCTTGTTGTGATACAGTTGTCCACACAGAAGTTGATGCAGAATCTACATTAGCTTTTAGGAGGGAACCAGAATCTTTTTTGGTCAGCTGGGTGTCTGAGACACGTGGAAACCTATCATGATGCTTAAGAATATCCAAACCAGACCAAACCAGGCGGGGTGTGTGGGGGTGTGGTGGTGGGGTGGGGGGGCTGTGTGGTGGTGGGGGGTGTGGTGGTGGTGTGGGGGGGCTGTGTGGTGGTGGGGGGTGTGGTGGTGGGGGTGGGGGGTGTGGTGGTGGGGGTGGGGAGTGTGTGGTGGTGGGGGCGTGTGGTGGTGGGTGTGGTTGTGGTGGTGGGGGCGTGTGTGTGGGGGGTGTGTGTGGGGTGTGTGGTGGTGGGGGCGTGTGTGTGGGGGGGGTGTGTGGGGGGGGGTGTGGTGGTTGGGGTGTGTGTGGTTGGGGTGGGGAGTGTGTGGTGGTGGGGGCGTGTGGGGGTGGGGGTGTGGTGGTGGGTGTGGTTGTGTTGGTGGGGGTGTGTGGGGGGGGGTGTTGGTGGTGTGTGAGGGGGGGGTGTGGGTGGTGGTTGTTGGTGGTGTGTGAGGGGGGTGTGTGGGGGTGTTGGTGGTGTGTGAGGGGGGGTGTGGGGGGGGGTGTTGGTGGTGTGTGTGAGGGGTGTGTGTGGGGGGTGTTGGTGGTGTGTGTGGGGGGGGGTTGTTGGTGGTGTGTGAGGGGGGTGTGTGGGGGGTGTTGGTGGTGTGTGAGGGGGGTGTGTGGGGGGTGTTGGTGGGGGGGGGGTGTGGGGGGTGTTGGTGGTGTGTGAGGGGGGTGTGTGGGGGGTGTTGGTGGTGTGTGTGTGGGGGGGGTGTTGGTGGTGTGTGAGGGGGGGTGTGGGGGGGGGGTGTTGGTGGTGTGTGTGAGGGGTGTGTGTGGGGGGTGTTGGTGGTGTGTGAGGGGGTGGTGTGGGGGGGGGTGTTGGTGGTGTGTGAGGGGGGGTGTGGGGGGTGTTGGTGGTGTGTGTGAGGGGTGTGTGTGTGGGGGGGTGTTGGTGGTGTGTGAGGGGTGTGTGTGGGGGGGGGTGGTTGGGGTGTTGTTGTTGTGTGTGGGGGTGTGTGTGTGGGGGGGTGTTGGTGGTGTGTGAGGGGGTGTGTGGGGGGGGGGTGGTGGTTGGGGTGTTGTTGTTGTGTGTGGGGGTGTGTGTGTGTGGGGGGGGTGTGGGGGGGGTGGTGCTTGGGGTGTGAGGGTGGTGTGTGGGGGGTGTTGGTGGTGTGTGGGTGGGAGGTGTGCATCAGCCGCTGTCACTCCCTGGTGACCGCAGGTCCCGCCCCCACCCCGAGGGGGCGCTGCCATCAACATAGCACAGAAACAGTGCAGTGCGCAGGCGCGAGTGGCTACGGGAGCCGTGGGGGGGGGGGGGGGAGGGAGGAGGAGCGGCGCGTGCGACCGGGAGCTGACCGGGGGGGGCGGGGCGGGAGGTGGCGGTTGGCGGTTGGTGACGCGCTGCGCTCCGAGTCGGACGGTTGTGCGGGTTTTCCAGCGCCACCTCAGGCGCTCACAGCGTCTCCGGTGCAGACCCGGGGGTGGGGGGGGGGGTCAGCGGCCAATGGAGGCATTCAACCAAGGTCCTCCCCACCTCCCCTCCCCCCCCCTCCCCCCGGGGTGGGGAATGGGTGTGTGTGTGTGTGTGTGGACACGGTGGAGTCCTGTAGCTCAGTGGCCGGAGCGCTCGCCTCGCGAGGGGCGCGAGAGAGGGAGAGGGAGAGCCTGGGGTTTGATTCCCGGCAGCGGGAAAACATTGTCCGAGTTTCCTCGCTCCACGCCCGCGCCTCACGCCCGCGCCTCCCTCCCTCCGTCGACCCGGCGGTGAGTAGGAAGGAACCCGGCGCAGAGTCGATCGCCGCATGGCTTTTCCGGGGTAATATCTCCTCCCGGGGTGGGGGTGGGGGGTGGGGGTGGGGTGGGGGGGCTTCAACCCCCCCCCCCCCCCCCCCCCCGACGAGTGTCTTGTGGGACGCGGCTGAGCCCACACCGGCTGCGGGGTTTCGCCCACAAGGTGTCCGCTGTGCATATTCCGTGAAGCGCTTTGAGACGTCCCGAAGGACGTGGTAAAGCTCTGTATCAAATGCAAGGATTATTATCATTATTATTATTATTATTATTAACGATCCCATGGCACAATGCAAAAAAGAAACGGGAGTTTCTCCCAACGTCCTGGCCAGTACTCCCACCCACAGGTAATATTTACCTTTCATTTCCGTTGGTGAAACATTGCTGTGTGCAAAACCGACGGCTGCAATCGCCTGCAAACGTCTGCAGCTGCAGACAAAGGTTTTCAAAGTTAAAAACCGAATTAGCTTTGTGCTCTTATCCTTCTACGCCGCCTCCTCTCGCCCCAACCTTCACGGCTCTGCCCTTGGCTGGTTCAGATCGTACCTCTCACACCGTCTCCACTTCATCTCCGCGAACGGCTTCTCCTCGACTCCCCGCTCCGTCTCGTGCGGCGTTCCTCTGTCCTCGGTCGCCTCCGCTTCAATATCTATAGGCTCTCTCTTGGCGACATCATCCGCAGACATGGGGTCAATTTCCACATGTTTGCGGATGACACCCAACTCTATCTGTGCCTCCACCCTTGACTCCAGGACCACTGGTGGGCTGACAGGCAGTCCTGGGTGAGAGCTAATTTTCTTCAGCTAACTGAGCTCAAATGGAATTTGTGCTCTTTTGGAACAAATTGTGCACACATGGAATTTGAAGCTGTAACCTTTTGATCTGAGTGCTTCAGTATTTCTAGCTTTACATACTCGTTCAAGGGTCTGTCTCCAACTTGTCGATCAGCTCCAGGTGTCGTGTCAATGAAGACAAGAGGAAGGAGCGATATTTACTGTAATTTAAACAATAAGGTTTATCTATTATTTTCGAGATGCGTGGAATACTTTGTGCATCCGGCTTCGCGGAGGAAATGTTTGGAGTAAATAACAAGTTCTGTAGCTCCGGTCTCTTGTTTCTTGATCGTGTGCGAGATCGCCACCTAGTGGCGATGGACCGGTTGGGGACCCCCTGCACTTGTTGATCAGGGAAAGATGGATCACATTTCTTTTAAAAGAGTATTGCAAATATTGCACAGAATGGAATGAACCAGATGAGAGATTTGATGGAATTCAGGCTCCTTTTGTTTCCGTCCAAACCTCTGTAGCAAACTCTCACCTGTGAGTTAGAAGGCTGTGGGGTCAATCCCCATGTCGGGACTTAATAATAATAATCCTTGCATTTGATATAGCGCCTTATCATGTCTTCGAGATGTCTCAAACGGCTTCACAGAATATGCTGTAAAGTGAATTGACTGTATATTTTGTGGGTGAATCGCGGCAGTCAATGGTGCAACGCAGTGCCCCACGAACAGTCGTGGATTGAAGTGATCAATTTATTATTTATTTTTTGAAGGAATTATTACCTCTGGAGAAAGGACCTGCCAATCCACTGACAATCGGATTCCTACTTACTGCTAGGAAAACAGAGGCGTGTGGAGTAAGGAAACTTGCCCAACATTTCGTCCTGCCGGGGATCGAACCCAGGTCTCTCGCTTGCAAGTGAGTGCTCTAACCACTGAGCTGCATGACTTAGAACCCATAGAGTCTTTGCTGACACATCAATGCAGTACACTGCATTGTTGGACATGTGGTCCTACAGATAAACTGAGGTCTTATTTGCCTATCCAAGTGGATGTTAAAGATCCCATGCACTTTTCAAATAGAGAAGGGAGTTTATCCTAATGTTCTGGCCAACAGTCCCCTACTCCCCACAAAAATTTTAAAAAAGTAATTCACTCCATGTTTTTGGGACATTGCTGAGTGCAAATTGGCTGCCATATTCGTTGACAAAATGCACACAGTCACATCACTTTACAGTGTATCCTGTGAAGTGCTTTGAGATGTTTTGACGATACAAGACGCTGATCAATTGCATGGATGATAAAGGTGTGTGTTTTCATTTGATGAAAAGTGCAAATTGATAGAACTTATTTTATCTTATTTTCTATGGGGTAGAATAGATTAAGACTGTCTGAATCGTTGTTGTTATTTTAAACAGCCTTATTCTTCATTTTCTTTCAGTTCATGGCATTTGTCAGCGTCTGACTGCTTTTTTCAAGAAAGGTCATGATGTCCAGGTCCATTTATGCAGGCGTGAGTCTCCTGGCAATGAAGTTTTTTTATAGATGTATGTCCAAAAAATGTTTGAGTCCCTGCAACAGGAACTCAGGCTTGCCATTTCTAAAAATATTGTTGATCTCTAGGCGCACAAAACCTCTGTCCACATACAGCTCGCTGGTTGGTGAAAAGAACATTGTACTTATGGGTGCTCCTGGTGCAGGGAAGACAACAGTGGGGAGATTTGTTGGTCAGATCACGGGTCTTCCTGTAATAGATGTCGATGATGATGTCCTTGAAAAGACTTGGCTCATGTCTGTAGCAAAGAAACTTCAAGAGGTTGGCGGTGATCTGTTTCTGGAAGAGGAGGGAAAGGCCCTTCAGAGGTTTTCAACATCTGGAAGTGTTCTTAGTCTCACTGGGTCCAATCCCATGCATCGTGCTAGTATGCAGCACATGAAAAGCAATGGAATAGTTGTCTACCTTGACGTGCCTCTTGAAGACATATTAGAAAGACTCGAACGAATGAAGGTGGATCGCATTGTTGGTCAAGAACCTGGTGTTTCAATGAAAGAGATTCTTCAGTACAGGCGACCGTTTTACCACCAGTGGTACGATGTCCGTGTCCTGTGCGAATCTGGTGAATCAGCAGAAGCAATTGCCGTGAAAGTCCTTGAAGCTGTGAAGAGATATCAAGACATTACACCTGAAACATTTATTTCTACAAGAAGTACAACTGAAGACTCAGAGGCAAGAAAAGACCCCGTTTTCTTTAGTGATGTGGTTGTTGAAGGCCTGGCTTCAGATGGAGGACTCTACGTGCCTGCAACGAAGCTTCCAAAGCTGACTCCTGGCGAGTGGCAACGGTTGGTTGACGTACCTTACATTGAACGGGCACAGGTCTTGCTGGAGTTGTGCATCCACCCCAGTGATGTACCTGCTATCAAGTTGCAAGAGATGTTGGCCAGAGCTTACGGACAGAACTTTTCCTGTACAGAGGTAGCACCAGTTAGGCATTTAACTGGTAACCAGTTTCTTCTGGAGTTGTTTCATGGGCCCACAGCTTCTTTCAAGGACTTGGCTTTACAGCTGCTGCCACAATTGTTTGCATTCTGTATCCCACGAACTTGTAATTATCTGATACTAGTAGCTACATCTGGCGATACAGGCAGTGCTGTTCTGGATGGTTTCAGTCGCCTCAGTGACACTGACAAAGAGAGAATCTCAGTGCTCACATTCTTCCCCGAAGAGGGAATTAGCCAAATTCAAAAGGCACAGATGATTAGCTACCAAGATAAAAATGTAGGAGTTATAGGTGTCCAGTCTCATTTTGATTTTTGCCAGTCAGCTTTAAAACAGATATTCTCAAATCCCGACTACACTGGTTTCCTGACAGTTGAATATGGGACAGCCCTGAGTGCAGCTAACTCTATAAACTGGGCCCGACTATTGCCGCAGTTGGTCTATCATGCCTCTGCCTACCTTGATCTTATCAGCCAAGGAATAATTACATTTGGAGACCCAGTAGATGTTTGCATCCCTACAGGAAATTTTGGAAATGTGCTGGCAGCTGTGTATGCCAAACATATGGGGATTCCAATCAGAAAATTTATTTGTGCTTCAAATCAAAATAACATTCTAACAGATTTTATAAGGACGGGTAATTATGATTTGAGGCACAGAAGCGTAAGTGTTTCTTTGTCACCAGCTATAGATATTCTCAAATCCTCCAACCTTGAACGCTACTTGTATCTTATCACACATGGTGACGGGCGGCTGATGAGGGAGTTGTTCTCCCAGCTGGAAGAACAACACTATTTTCAGGTGGCGAGGCCACTGCTGACGAGAATTCAGGATGACTTTGTGGCAGACTGGTGCTCGGAGGAAGAGTGTCTCGCTGCTATCTATTCTGTATACAAGTCCTGCGGTTACATTCTAGACACGCACACGGCCGTTGCAAAAGTGGTAGCAGATCGCCAGGATGACAGGTCCTGCCCAGTTATCATCTCATCAACCGCTCATCCTTCCAAATTCGCAGCCGCTGTGATGCAGGCTTTGAAGGTTGAAGATGTGAAACAAAGCCCAGTTGATCAGATCCAGCTCTTGAAGTGTCTCGACTGTTTGCCTCATGTGCACACGGCTTTATTGCAAAGACTTCAACAGGCCCACGTGCAAAAGGGGGAGATCTGTCCAGCAGATGTTGATGCTGTTATGGATCATGTAGAAAGCTTTATTCAACACAATTTCATCAACGTTCTTTAAATCCTATGTAACTGTGATTGATGTGTAAATCCTCCTGATTATGAGAAAAGATTGAGAGATAACATGGGGGCGGTGGTTAAAGGGTTTGTGGTCCATCTCAAAGAGGCAAATGTACTGGCCATCCCTAACTCTGCGATTGGATACTGCAGGAGTACCTATATAAACAGAATCTTTGTTTAATATATTTAATGGGTTTCGGTTTTCTTAACAAAACGCAAAACACTGTATAGATGCAAAAACAGAGGTCGCTGGAAACACCCAGCAGGTCAGGCAGCATCTATGGAGAAAGGAAAGTGAGTCAACGTTTCGGGTCCACGACTCTTCGTCAGAACATGAAGGGCCGTGGATCTGAAACGTTGACTCACTTTCCTTTCTCCATAGATGCTGCCTGACCTGCTGAGTGTTGCCAGCAACTTCCATTTTCTTAATCTAACCAATATTTGTCATGCCCCCACCGCTCAGCCACCTCAGGCCTGCTGATGAATATTGATGGATATTAATTTTTTACTGATTTACACTAATCATAATTACAATTATGTTTTTGATGTATTTGAAAAGAATACATTATGGGACATTGTTGTGCGCAAATTGACTGCCACATTTGCATATAAAATTACCATTTCTGCACCTTTCAGTAAAGCGCTTTGAGATGTCCTCCTGATGTGAAAGGTGCTGCAACAAATACAACAATTATTATTGTAGTCCGTGCAATCTCATTATCCTTTTATGATGATACATGTTACATATTTTAAAAGAGTATTGCTTACAAAGCAATGTTAAGGGCTATTATTAGGTGCTAATGTTTGTATTCGAGGGATTCAGAAGATAATCGCAAATATAATTCATTACTACTTGAACTGTGCGAACTGCTTCATTGTAAACATATACAACATTTACATATACTGTAAAGCGGAGTAAACTGTGTGCTTTTGTCTGCAAAGTTTGCTCAATACAGAAGTATGGTCCTGCTTACCAAATAAACGAACAGAAATGGACAACGTAATTAGAATCCACCTGGCTTACTGTCAGGCACAAATTTAGTGAAGATGGAATTAAATTAAAATTGACTTCTTTCTGGAATGTGTGTCAATAGATAAAGCAATAAAGCACAAGTCATATGGCACAAATACAGTGTTTAAGGTTGATACTATTACTTATAAATTGCGTTTGGTGAATTCCACCCCCACCCTGTCCACCGGAGTCGTAAATATTTGTGCTGCGTTTGGATCCTGTCACGTCACTTTGGGTGATGGAGAAAAAAAATGAAATTGATTTGTACAAAGTTCTGCATCTTAAGAAATTTTTTCTGTTTTTCTAATTGTTCATTCTGTTTGATTTGGGTTTCTAGTGATTGAAAAATTGTGACGCAGAATGTTAAAACAGATGTTACTATCCTATTCAAACATCATGAGAATATTCTGTTGAGAGCATTTCCAGTGTTTTCTAATCAAACCAATGCAAGCAGCAAACAGCTGTCAAGATAATAATAAGAAAAGCCTTGAACTGGCAGCTTTGATGAGCTCCATTATATCAGAGAACTGGTGGAGGCTGTTCGAGTGCAGATGGCGGAAAACTGGCCTGACAGTTCACCGCCAACTGGCTCGAGCATCTCCACAGCTACCGTCGTTCTTTGGAGCGCGAGAAAACGGTCTTCTACTCCAACATCATCTTGGAGGTTAAAAACAATCCTAAGATCCTTTTTTCCACCACCCACTACCTCCTCTGTGCCTCCCCTCAGGCCTTCTCAATTTTCACATCCAATGCCAAGTGCGAGGAAGTCATGGACTTCTTTTCATCCAAAATACACAACATCCGCCAAGCAGCCTCATCCTCCTGCCTCTTGTCACCCACCACCACCCCCTCTCCGTCCCCCTCACTCTCCCCATCATCTGCTCCTACCACCACCCCCATCCTACACCCCTTCCTCCCCATCTCTCCCTCCCTCTCACCCACCATCATCTCAATGAAACCCACCACCTGCTGCCTCGATCCCCTCCCCACCAACTTGCTGGTCACCAGCTCCCCCTCCTCTGCCCACTACTGGCTGATGTCATTAACCAGTCCCTCTCCTCTGGATCAGTCCCTGCCCCCCTCAAAACTGCTGTCATCACCCCCCTCCTCAAAAATCCTTCCCTAGATCCCTCAAACCCCAGTCACTACCGCTCTATTTCAAACTTGCCCTTCCTCGCTGAAATCCAAGAACGCGTTGTTGCCAATCAACTCCACGAACACCTCTCCACTCTCTCTTCGAACCCCTCCAGTCCAGTTTCTGCCCTGCCCACAGTACAGAGACTGCGCTTGTGAAAGTCACAAATGGCATCTTTATCTGTGACCAGGGCTCCCTCTGCCTCCTTATCCTCCTGGACCTCTCCGCCACGTTCGACACAGTCGATCACACCATCCTCCACCTCCTTTCCTCCGTCATCCACCTCAGTGGGACCGCACTCGCCTGGTTTGAGAACCTACCTCACTAACCGCCAGCAGTACATCTGCACAAACGGCTTCTCCTCCCGCTCTCACCTGGTTACCTGCGGGGTATCCCAAGGATCCATCCTTGGACCCCTCCTCTTTCTGATCTACATGCTTTTTCTTGGGGATGTCATCCGCAAACATGGGGTACACTTCCACATGAATGCGGATGGCACCCAACTCTATTTTTCCACCTCACTTTGCAACCCCCCCCAGTTCCCTGATGTTCTGTCAGCCTGCCTGTCAGACCTCAGGGGCTAGATGAGCGCAAATTTCCTTCAGCTGAACGTTGACAAGACGGAAGCTATACTCTGGTTCTTGTCAACGTCTAAAATCACACGGTTCTCACCTCCTCCACCTACCCGACCTCCCCCTAAAACTCTCCGAACCCATACGCAACCTAGGCGTCAGGTTCAACCCCCAATTATCCTTCCTTCCCCACATCAGGTTCCTCACCAGCAACGCTTTCTTTCACCTCCAACGCATCGCCCGTCTCCGCCAATACCTCTCTCCGAAAGCCGTTGAAATCCTGGTTCATGCCTTTGTCACCTCTCGGCTGGACTATTCTAACACCCTCCTCGCTGGTCTCCCCTCCACTACCATCCATAAAATCCAGGTCATCCAAAACTTTGCCACCTGCATTCTTATCCGCACCAAACTCCACTCCCCAATTGCCCCAGTCCCTGCCAGACTGCACTGGCTGCCTGTGCCAGAGAGGATCGACTTCAAGATCCTCACTCTTGTCTTCAAATCCCTCCACTCCTCTGCAACCCCATACCTCTCTGACCTCTCTCCTCAAAAGAGTGCCCGTTGCCTTCGTTCCACTGGGTCTGACCTCCTTGTCCTCCGAGTCCTCCGGCGTGGAGGGCACTATATAAATCCAAGTTGTTGTTGTTGGTGTATGGCATTTCTGTTGCTGATTTAAGTCTTTGTTGTGGATTCAATTCTCAGTAATATGCAACTTTTTGAGACTGAGAATACTTTGCAGATTTCATACTTTCCTGTTAAAAATACTCCACTTTACGCTAAAGTGATGATGTGATAAAGCGCTATGTCAAATGCAAGGATTATTATAATTCAAAACTCTCACTTAAAGAATGGCAGCTGGTCCTGCATAATTGTGTTGGAAACTATATCCACATTATGTGGTTACTTCTTGTTTTCACTGTACCTTACTTCACCTCTATGTGCAATGAACTTTGTCTACAGTAATGGACTGCGCTGGGCGAGGTAAATAGAAAAACTCCCAAATGGCAGTGATCTTAAAAATGCAAAAAACTGCTGGAATGCTTTATCTTGTCTAATTGTTAATGAAAATGACTGGGCTGCGATCTCAGGCATCATCATTGATTGTGTACTTAAATAGCATTATAACTACAGATATTTTTATTTGACCTGTTATGAAATAAAACTGAAAGTTCACAATGTTTTAATCACAATGCAGCAGGTTTGTCAGCCTGGCTCAATTGGTTGCACTTATCGTCTCTGAGCCAGAAGGATATAGGTTCAAGACCCGATGTTGGGATTAGGAACTATATAGTTTAAGATGACACTCCAGTGAAGTGCTGGGGGTGTCCTGCATTGTTGGAGGTGCAATCCTTTGGATGAGATGTTAAACCAAGGTCCCATCTGCCTGTTTCAGTGGAAGTTAAATTCCTGTGGCACTATTCGAAAAGAGAAGTAAATTTCTCCTGACCTCCTGGCCAACAATCCTCAAACAATCCTGAAAAAAAATGAGTCATTCACTTCATGGCTTTTGTGGGATATTGCTGATTGCCAAGGTTGCCCACATAGCACACAATCATTGCATTTACGATATATTCTGTTACGCCCTTTGGGCGTCCTCCTAATCTGAAAAGTACTGAAGCAATGTAAGGATTATTATTAATTATTATCATGAGTAATCAGTTCTATTCGCCCTACAGCTATAATTTCTGATGAACTATTGGCATTTGTGTTACCGTAACTCCAGGTTTGATCTCAAAGGTTGGTGTTTAAACTGTCCCCTGTATCATGGAGATCACAACAACACTGTGTAAAATAAGAAAATAAATAATATGATAGATTAGTCTGTGATAAAGGATACCGATTGGCCTTGAGACTTCAGGCCTAGACCACCTGATCAGCAAAATGTTAATTTTTCACCAGTTTCACCGTAACCATTGACAATATTAAACAAAAATGAATCACTTTAAGACCTACAGTTTATAGTACACAAAACATTCTCTTCAAAATTAAAAAAAAATGGTGGGTAGGCTGGACCTAAAAAAGGGACAAACCAAAGGTTGCTGGATGTGTGATCGTTAACTCCAGCAATTGGTTTGACTTTTCTCCACTGCGTGTATCCTGACAACTAAGATTATACAACCAGAATTCAAATCATAGGGAAACCAGGCAAGAACTGGAAGTTCACCATCACCTCTAGTCTTACTCCTCAGTATTTTGTTAGGTTGATCGCCTTAGAAACTTTGCATAAGGGAATATGCTCAATATGACATAACATGATGAGAAACACGCATATAATGGTTCAACATCCCTTGCAGAAAGGCCATCTGTCACATCTAAATCCTCAGGAGAGAACGCCTCAAATGTCACTAATCATTCTGACCTTGAGGCTTAGCCGGGGACCTTCAGCCAATTGCCAACCTAGATCAAGCATGACGAGAGATTTAATAGGCAAGATTTATCAAAGGAACTTGCTTCAACTGTTTCATCACAGTTTTGTGTTCTCTGGTTGCTTTTCCTGTGGCATTGAGAATGATGTGTAGAAAAGGATTAGAAAA